CATGACTTTACTTGCTGTAAGTACCACTCTTGGAGTTGTAGCTCATCCGGTTTCCCCTGTTGATCCCTATACTTGCAGAAGGTTGTGTTACTCCCACGTTGATGGTGCTGGTTTCCACCAGGCCTCAGAAGTTTAGATTTCCTGTTTTCCAGGTTGGTAGGATATGCAGTGTTACCATGCAGGGCTTCCATGCAGTCCACTTGGACTGAGTGTTAAAGAAGAGACTGCTTATTTTCTCTGTTACTCATAAACCAAGAATTTTTACAGTTCCTGAGTGATTTGCTGCCTGCAATTCCATTGGCAAAACCTCCTGCTCTGGGAAATTTTCACTAAATTTCTTGGATAATAAAGACTGCCTTGATAAGTAGATTTTGCAGCAGCATGAAATGCTGTGTCTCCAGGTTTCTGGTCCCTCACGCATCTGTCTCTTCCAGGTTTTCATTGTGGAGTCACTGGGGAGGAGAATCCTTCTCCTTGCTGGCTTTGGGATGTGCTGTGTCTCCTGCGCAGTGTTAACACTGGCCCTCAACCTCCAGGTGTGTAGCTGGGTGGCTCAGGTGATGTCCTTGCATTTCTGCACCACCCTGGGTTAAGGCCATTGGTATATTTGATTTTGGAAGTTGTTTCTACCATCTGGGAGGGAGACCTCTGCACTTGTGTATTTACCCAAGGCGAATCCAGGAATAGTTGTGATCCTGTTTGGTTATTCTCCTGGCCCTATCATGTTCAATATACCTGTTGCATCCATTTATTGGAAGCAAAGTTTACACCCAAGTTCTTATCTTAGTGACTGAGTGCATCTACATTAATAGAGCTGGCAATAAAGAATGACACTGGCTTTAGAGCACCCTCAAATCTTACTGCAGATTGTGCTCTGAGCATATGCTGGCTTTCCACAAGAACCAGCTCTAACCTGGGACTGAATTCTCTACAGGCAACTCTCCCGTGGATGTCCTACATCAGCATAGCATGTGTCATTATTTACATCATTGGACATGCTACTGGAGCCAGTAAGTACCCATGGTCCAGTCTGGCCTCCTCTGCAAGCTGGATGAAGCCAAGTGTTGTGTTGAGCTTCAAATCAACAGTTTGTGAGGCTGGAGACTGAATTTCTTCTCTGTAAGCCTATCTATGCCTGCTGGTTGTTGGCTTGGCTTGTGTTCCAGACTGTGAGTTGTACCAGGTGCTGTACACCAGTTTAGAAACCATTATCTGCCACTGGTATGAACAGTCCCAACCAGGAATTCAAACTGTCTTTGGGATTTCCATCTATATATTTCTCTTCCAGGTCCAATTCCCTTCGTGATGATCACCGAGATGTTCCTGCAGTCGTCCCGGTCTGCAGCGTTCATGGTGGGTGGATCTGTCCACTGGCTGAGTAACTTCACCGTGGGCCTTGTGTTCCTCTACATGGAGGTAAGATGTGCCCAAGGGCTTCAGCCTCAAAGCAGTGTCTTCAGGTATAACAGACCACAATACACCTCTGTCTGCTGCCCCAGTAAATGTCCTCCATAGTAGTGATCTCAGGAGAATCTAGAATCACCCAAACTTCACATAAATCTAGTTAAAATATGTGTAGTTTGCTGTGTCAACCTTTTTAGCTAATGCCCAAATCATGCAATGGGCACATCTAGAGCACCCCTCTCTGCATGACCTTGACCTGTCTCCTATTGCTTTAGGCTGGACTGAAGGCCTACAGCTTCCTCATCTTCTGTGCCGTCTGCCTGGTCACTATAGTTTACATCTTCATCGTTGTCCCCGAGACAAAGAACAAAACCTTCATGGAAATCAACAGGATTATGGCCAAGAGGAACAAGGTGGAGTTTCAGTCTGAAAAAGAAGAGCTCAAGGATTTCAAGACTGTTCCAGGGGAGCAGGCAGGAAAGAGCCAAGTCTCCCAGAGTGAGCTGTGATGCCACCCAGCGTCTGGCCTGGCCCAAGCATGTGCAGGATCTCTGCTCGGTAGGAGAACAGCAACTTGCCTTGATCCTGACCTTGGACTTGGACTTTTTGCACCCTTGACACAGCAGGAGCTTGCAAAGAAGGCAGAGTTGATGCCAAGCCCTGGCTGCTCCATGTTCTGTGGGATGGCGAGAGCCTGGGTTGTGCTGCGGATGCTGTGTTAGATGGGCTGATAGAGTGTTTGTCCTGTCAACTCTTGTCCTCCTTTGTGTGCTTTGCACGGCTGCCAGCCTGGGAAGGCTCAACACACCTGCCCCACTCACCAAATTTGTCCTTCACATCAAAGTTAGCCCTCAGCTGTTACAGAAAGGTCCTTCTTGAGACTTTTTTTTCTTGTGGCTGCAAGTCTTCCCCTGGATTCTGGCTTGTTCACAGTCAGTCTATACCTGCTTGTTCCTGCGCCACTGCAGTCTTTGGGAATGGCCTCTCTGGTGTGTACATCTCAACTGACAAAGCACAGCAGTCCCTCTCCTAATCCCTAATACCCCCCAAACGCTTTCCCTGGAGCTGCGACAGCTGGAGCTCCTTCTTTCCCAAGAGGCGCATGGTCCTGAAGAGAATAAGAACCTCATGCTGTGCTGGTGGGGCCGAGTTCAGGCTGATGTCAGGGCAATGACCGCAGCTCTGCAGCCCCTTTCCATCTGTGACCATTGCATTTTTGTACCTCTGGTCTGGGGCTCTTGCACTGAGTTGCTTGAAGTTGGAGTTTTCCAAAGAGCTCAGCTCTCAAGTGTCTGAAATCTGTCTAGAAAACAAGTCTATTGGTCCTTCTGAAGTGTTTTCTGAGGGCACAGCTCCACCTGAAGGCTAAAATGTTTTGCGAAAGCTCTGCAGCCAGAGAACTCTCAAAAAAATGCACAAGACATGAAAGATTTCTTAAAATATTTATTGATTTCATGTTTTTAGGGTTAATCAGCATAATTTCCCTCTGCAGGGGAAAAAAAGCCAATTCTTTAACAGCCTGGCACTCACTTGGCATTGCTGATGGAGATGGTCCTTTGCATGATGCACTTCTGCACCCTTAGAAGGAAAGGAGCTTCATCCCTGCCCTCAAACTCCTCTTGTGATGTCTTTTGCTTGAAAGAGGGATTCCTTTTATGAAAGACAACAGCTCTCTTGGGTGGCTGGGAGGAAGATGTGAAGATATATCCCCTGGTCTCTTTGTTTTGTAGGGTCTTGGGTGGCCTAAAGCAACCTCCAGGGAGGGATGTGACAGTGCAAGGACTGGGAGTGTGCTGAGTTCTGCTCTGTTTTTTGCTCCATCACTGATGGAGGCCTCACCCCCAACTATCTTCTCGGATAAAAACTTACAGCACTAAGGTGCTGCCTACTGAATCTATATGAAGCAGAAGGAGAAACGGGCAATTAATCAAAAATAAATACATGGTCCAAGCTTCCCTTTTTAAGGTCCCCAAAGGGTGTTGGATTGGTTTCTTGCTAAAAAAAAAAATAATAAAATAAAAAAAAGGGGGGGTGTCACTCACTCACAGCTGGTGTCAGGCCTCAGCACCACTCCCCCCACGAGGGCCAGGGCTGTCTCTCCCCACGCTATGACATCTCCCTTGGCCTGCGCCGCTTTGCACAGGGCGAGCGCCCTGACCTCCGCGGGGCCGAGGACCCGGCTCCACATGTTCACGTGCGTCAACCATCCCGCGAAGCCATTGGAGAAGGTGCCGAGCAGAGTGTCCCTGTCCTTCCCCAGGACCAGCGTCCCTCCGGCCTGGGTCTCGTACCCTTTCTGCACGCTCTGGGCTTTGCCCTCGGCTCCGTTCAGCCACAGCTGCGCCCGCCCCGTCGGGGAGGCCCAGGCCACGCAGTGGTGCAGCCAGCCCTGCGAGCCGTGGTGCGTGGGGAAGCTCGCCACGCGGCCCCCGACCCACAGCGCCACGGCCGCCCCCACGGTCACCACGAGCTCGGCGTCCCGCTGCTGCGTGGAGTACGAGAGGACGGTCTGCGTGCCGCCCGCCGCCGCTCGTGCCCAAAAGCAAAGCGTGAAGGCTTGGAGGGCCATGTCGTGCAGGGGCTGCACGGTCACCGAGCTCTCGATGTTCTCTGCGGGGAAGTAGAAAGCTGGGAAAGGGCTAGATTTAACACCTGGAAGAACCAAAGAGAGTCTGCTATTGCATTTGCCTCCAAGTCCATAAGGCAGACCGAGTCCTGCAGAATACACCCAGCTGGCACAACGGGGCCAGCCTGGCAGATTTGACTGCAGCTGCTGGCATCTGCAGTGCCAACAACAAATGAGCTTGAAATAAATAATAAAAAAAAAACTAGCTCCCTTGCCTAATTGCTTTGGGAAAATCTTGGTTTTTTCCTCCTTCTGTTGTCATCCTCTGTGAAATGGAGATGGTGATTTTTCCCTAGGGGCTCCGTGAGCTTAGATTCCTGTCTGTAAAGCTGCAGTCTGCGCCAGCTGATTGTGAGCTAGACTTAATGCTAACATGACTCATGGAAACTCTCCATCTGGCCCAGATTGGGGTCCAAATTCTGCTTGCATGTGTCAGTACTCAAATTCTGAATGATTTGGGGCAGCAGGGCATTAGCAGAGGCAGGCGGTAACCCAAAGTTTAGCCGGTAGCTCCATAGGTGCATGCGTGTTTCTTACCAATCTGACTCACTCCATCCAGTAACTCCTTCTTCATGTCCTGGAGCTGCATCTGGATTTGCTCCAGCCTGAGCTTGAGTTCCTCGGGGTGATATGGTTCTAGAGCGATGAGACAACGGAATTTACTGAAGGCTAAGGCTTCCACATGGTACATTTCCAGCTTTCTAGTTTGTGGCAGATTTGGGGGGGGAAAAAGCTTTGTTTTAAAGGCACTGATACGGTGCTTGGTAAGGAGCTATGCCAGGGCTGTTTCTGCAATAGCGTGTTCAGCCACCTCAACACTTGAACCTCCTCTTTCTGCAGCAGCATCCCTTGGGCTGCAGGCACAGCAGAGGGCTGGCATGACGCTTGCTACCACCACTACATCCTAAAACCCATCTGTGCTGCAAGGGGACACTCTGGTGACAGTGTCTGCCTTACCCGGGGCTCTGAAGGAGGCCTCCACCACGCGCCCGTGCAGGGGCTGCGCGCGCCGGTAGTCGTTGCGCAGGGTCCTGTTGTGCCAGTCCAGCAAGGAGCTCTCCAGGAGGCTGATCTGGGGGCAACGCAGCCTTATTACAGAGGGCTACAAGGTCAGGGATCTTGCCTAAAAGTGCAGCATAGATCCCGCTCAGCTCAGGATTAAGCCTAGCAATTTAATATAGAACTTCTCTGCAGGGTGTTTTTTGCCCTGCTTCTACCTGCGTGTGCGACAGGACAACTGGGGCATCAAAGACGGTCCAGGTGACGCTCTCGGAGCACGGCGGGGTCGTGAGCGAGCCCTGGTACCTGTAGAAGCGCGAGAGGTTTTCGGGCAGCATGGCCCGGACGTCCAGGGAAGCGAGCTGCGTGGATTGGCCTCAAAAGGAAGCAGAGGGGCAGCGTTAGCGATTAACGGTGAAGAAGAGGAGCAGAAGAGGAAGGCAAGAGTGGTGCTAGAGGTGGGATGGATACCCGAACCCATGAGCACTGCTATGTTATGTTTTGGGCACAACGAGGTGATGAAGAGGATGGTCTTTTCAGTCCATCCATGGGCTGTTAGCCTGAGATGCAGGTTCAAGCCCAGCAAGGTCACTCGGGGCTTACCTGCAAACCTGATTTGGGCCAGTTTGGAAATGAATTCGCTGTAGTAGGTGTTCTCGAAGTGTCCATCCTAAATACAGCACAGAGGTTTGAAAACGAAGTCAGCAGAGCCTGTCCTGCCCTCTACAGCACTGCTCTGCCCAGGGGATGAAGGGAACAAATATAGGTCTCTTAATGGGCTAGCACCTAGATAGAGTAGGGGATGAACACTACATCTGGGATAAAACACAGTATTGAGCTGCAGGGATCCTGTGTCACCACTCCGACCTCGGCATGGGCAGCCTGGCTCCATCCACCCATCCTGCTTTGGGAACGGGGATCTCGGGCGCTAGAGCTGGCTGGGGTGGTGCAGAGCAGTCCTGTCCAGGCTGGGGACAGACTAGGACATGCAGCCCCTGTCCAGGCTGCAATATAGGTAGCGGTCGCAGCCCGGCCTCCCTCTGGGGCCAGGGTGAACCTACCACGTAGAGGAAGGCGAGCACAGCCAGCCCGTTGGGCTTGTCTTTGGCCTCTTCGAAGCTCGAGTAGTTGGCGGAGTTGTAATGGACAACGTGCAGCTGGCGGGAGAGAGACGGGGCCGTTAACAAGGGAGGTCGTGAGGCTTCCTCGTGCAGCAGGACACGGTGCAAACCCAGGGCAGAGCTGCCCTTTGTGCCGCCCAGAACTTGACCTTAGCAGATTTATGACGGCACCGGTGGCTGCTCAGCCTGTGCAGGGCACTGACCCCTTGTGTCCCTGGGAGCCCCTTGTCCCCCACGCTGCTCCCTGGGAGCTGTTGCACCCAAATCCCCGCTCGCAAGCGGAGCCTCTTCGCCTCCTACCTCCGCCAGGTACCGCATCCCGTCCACGGTGTGCTCGGAGCCGCTGCTCTCCAGGTCCAGCCCGCCCCAGTGCAGGTGCATCTGCACGGCCGTGTAGGGCCCCGCGAGCCCGACGGAGACGCGCAGGCTGGGAGGCAGGTCGATCTGCACTGCAAAACAGGGCGCAAAATAGCAACGGGGGGCCGGGAAGCAGAAATCCGCTCTGAAGCCTAAAGCTAAGTGTGCACTTAAAGTCTTTCCTGCCCCAAGGCTTGTTCACCACCAAGGAGAGGAGGACCTGGCACAAAGTACCCTCTGCAGATTTCTTTGCACCTGGGTAGCTCCCTGTCTTAACTTGGGAATGGAAATGGTTTAATGCTCATCTCATTCACAGCCACTGCATCCTGCAGGGCTCTGCACAGCTTCATTAACATCTTTATTTCCAGCAGAGAAAAAGGAGGTAGAACTGGGAAAAGTGACTGGC